CACTGGTGTGGGAATCTCTCCCTTTAGTAGTCAGTGAGCAGCAAGTGAATCTCTGTGAGTTTAAGGCTTTACATAGGGCACCCTAGGCCGTGAAGTGTTATATAGTGAGACCCTGTCTCAAAACAACAGCAATAATAGCAACAGCATCAACACACAGAGAGACACATACACACACACACACACACACCAACAGCCATGGAATAGAAATCAATAAAGCATTATGAGACACCATCATTATTATCATTATTGCAGGGTTGATTGATAATACTTGAATAGGTCAGATGGTGTTGCACACACCTTTAATCCCAGCACTTGAAAGGCAGAGGCAGGTGGATCTCTGTGAGTTCGAGGCCAGCCTGGTCTACAAGAGCTAGGTCCAGGACAGGTTCTAAAATGACAGTGAAACCCTGTCTCAAAAAAAAAAATATTTGGGTGATATTTTTGTATTTCCCCAACTGCTCCAGCATTGAGTTAATGAAGTTCAGCCTTCCCTACTAGAGGAGTGTCTTGTCCTTTGCTGTGGCAATGTACTTGCTGAAGCAGAAATGTGTGTCACGATGTCCCAAAGGCAGGAGGGAACAATAGACATGAAACAAACAGGAAAAAAAGAGACAAAAGCAAAACCCACCAACAGCCACACATCGCAGGTGTCCCCCAGTTGGCCTCTCCGCCCCGACATCCTGTGACGCTGCTGCACCTGGAAAGGTCTGGGGGAGAGAGGGGCTCCCTCAGGGCACAGAATTCAACTATCTTTTTATTCACCATGATCTTGTCCAGGGTCTTCTTGTCCCTAGACTGAGTCACCCCCTTTGCTCTCCCACTTGCAGTATAGATGCTCTCTTGCCCCTTTTCCTGGGTTGCTTGTGAGCTCTTGAAGGCAGGAGCTGTGATATCTGATACTATTCAGCACAGAAGAGACCCTCCCTCGGGACAGCAGTCCGAAGTTCATCTCCGTTGATGTGATGTAAAGCACTGTCTTTCGGAGAGTGGGAAGAAAATTCTAGAAAATATCTAAAGTATAAAAGAAGCCAACCTTTATTATTCTTTATGGTCTAGATTAAAGAGTTATCACATATAAAATATAAAAGTCTAAACAAATGCTTTGGTATGACTTTTTTGTGGGGTTGATTTGAAATAATTGGGGATCACTGCTCCAGTCTTGCATTCATGATTATTGCTTCAAAAATCAATAACTCAAAAGAGTTTAGCTTTAAGTGGGAAAACTCAGTACCCAAGAAAATTTAGGGTATTTGTTTGTTTTAACCAGCATGTGTGCAGCCCATCCTGTGTCTTGTCACTTATCAGGCCCTGAGAATTACTTTGTTTCTCCAAGATAATTCCTCATGCTTTGATGGGGAAGGATTTCAGAGAAGCTGCAACTCCAATTGCATCATGTAATAGCAACAAGTGGGCAAGAAGGCTTTGGGGAGCTGGGTGCTCCCTGTCTTCTGGAAATGGAATTCAACACCCTTTTTTTTTCCTGAGGGATATCTTGACAAATATATCAAGACTTTAAAAAATACCATGCCATTGCAGAAACAGGTATATGTATATTTAGCAATTTGCATAAATATATACATATATTTAATCCTATAACACAGTCTATTACTGTCATTCTTGAAAACAATTCAGACAAGCATAGAGACACTGGCAAGGGAAAAAAGAAAAGGAAGAAAACTGAAGGAAAACCTCTGGCCACTGTTAAACATCTTTGACGTTTAAAGATTTATGTACGTATATCCCTATAAGAATGATTATTACATTGCTCCTAATACTAAAAGTCATAATCAACCCTAATGCCCAGCCATATTCAACACTTGATACATTTTATATCGATTCAGAGTAGCATGAGCCAACCCTTAAACTTGATATGCAGACACAGATTACATTGAGATTAAGCATTGCAATATTAGAATGGGTTCCATCTTGTGTAATACAGAGTGAGTCTATCAATGTAAGGCTGGATAGGAATGCCCAGTCGCATTCAATGCTTGATACATGTTTCATATCAATTCTGTGTAGCATGAGCCAACCCTGAAACTTGATATGCAGACACAGATTTAAATATATTAAAAGTCAGTATTATAAAATTAGAATGGGTTCCATGTTGTGCAATACAGAGTGATTCTATCAATATAGGGCTAGATAGGAAAAACATACCTGCTGTATGGTGACTTCTTAAGTTTTATTCTTAAATCAATAGAGGGTAGAGTACAGTTTTGTGAGTTTTAATAAGGTGTAGGTTTGTATGAACACCACAGCAGTCAGGATGGATGGTCATCACGTCAAATACACCTTGTGCTACCAGTTAGAGTCACGTGGCCTTCAGATCCTGCCTTGCACCCATAGCGTTCTCTGCTGCTCTAATTCCCCTTTCCAGAGGGTTAAGGAAATGGGCTCATGTAATGCTGCCGAGCTTGTCCCTAGCCCTGAGTTATCTGTTTACTCTTCTCTTAAAGGAGATTTAAGGTGTCTCTCAAGGGCACTGTGATCAGAACTCCCACCATATCTATATGTAGGTTTTTACATGAGCACATACTTTGCCGGTCCTGTGGTAAGGGGATTTTCATTTTGTGCGAACCCATCAAACTGTGCCCTTTTACAGTCCCATCATATAAGAGAGAGTGATGGCTTCTCAGCACTTGCTATTGTTAGCTTTTAGAAATGATTTCATATTAGTGATCCACTCAGATAGGAATGCAGCAAGCACGGTGTATTTTGTTTTCATTTCCTAATGCTGAGCATCTTCTACACTCATTTGCCATCCATTCATCCTCAAAGATGAAACACTTATTCATAGCATAGGTGCATTTTTTAAAAATTAGAAGAATTATTTACTCTTAAGTTCTGAGCTTTTATTTATATACAGACAGAAATGCCTTAAGACATGATTATCAATGGTCCTCATTCTTTACCTTGCTTTTTTGCTCTTAACAGAAGTATTCATAGAGAAATGAATTTAGTTTATTTAGTTTGGATGAACATGTTAGTCTTCTACACATTGTGTTTTCACTCCTGTATCAAACACCTCTGCATACCAGACCGTTTTGAGTTAGTGTTCATGTGATATGATGCTAAGTGGTTCATGCATTTGTATGGGAGAAATTCGATTCTTACAACACAGATTTTTTTTTTAATTTTTAAATTTTTGGTTATTCACATGGACGTTTATGTCTGGACTGTGTGCCCCTTTTCAGCGACCTCCGTGCTCATCTACTTTGCAACACATCACTGTGTGAGTACCTTAGAGCACACTATGAAATCGCAAAGGTGTCTCCTCCAACCTTTCTCTTTCTGTTTTGTTTCGGTTATCCTAACTCCCTTGTTTTTACACATAGACCTTAGAACCACTTTCTTCATTAATAAAAAAATTATTCTTTCTTAATTACCTATAATTATGTGAATACTTATAAGGATTGCATTTTAGCCTAGTGGTGGCTTACACATAAAACCCAGGAACCCTGGAGGTAGAGTTAGAAATATTGTGTTTGAGGTCAGTCTGGGCTTCATAGTGAGCTCTAGGCTATCAGGAGATAGAGGTCATGACCCTGTTTCGAAACAAAGTAAAAGCAAAAAAAAAAAAAAAAAAAAAAACAAACAAACAGCTATTATCTTAATAGAACTGAATTTTCCTATCCACGAGAATTTTCTGTCTTTCTATTTGCCCTGATTTCAACTAAAGTTTATGATCACTTTCTGTTTATTTTCTTTGAAAGTCTCCTGTTGAAGTTTATTGCTGTTTTCACTTTGGAAATCAAAAGACCTTTCTACAAGTAAAAGGAAGGCTAATCAAGAAAAGAGTAGAGCTACAGATCAGGGAGGCCAATCACTGTAACCTAGGGGCAGCCCCAGCTGCTAGTGAACCGAGGAAGTCTAGCTACAGATGTGGTAAGGGAATCTTGTGGGGATCAGCAAGGACCAGGGAAAGGACCTAGTGGTGGAAGAACATCACATCTTGACTCTGGTGGCATCAGAGTGTCAAGGGGGAATCAAGAAGTGGGGTCCTAAAGTAGGAGGTACCCAGTTTTGTAGGAATAGAACCATCAGCAGGAACCTCAAAATGGGTAGGAATTGCTCAACATACGGGAGAAGAACCGGACAGAATTCAAACTCACCTTCAGCATTTTCCTGGGAGCATAAATCAGATACATAAAAATGCTGCATTGTTTGGGGGGCGTAGACCATAGCCTCTGATATTCTGTTCAAATAAGTCTTGTTTAGCCTGAGACGTGGCAAAATATTCGGTCTGCATTCAGGTGGCCTCAGCTGCGAGAAGATGAGGGATGCTAGGGGTACTGAGCCAGGTGCATCGTTGGTCATGCGTTCGTTTGTTTACTCATTTACTATATGAAAGGCATTCTTACTATTATTGCTACAGCCTGCCTGAGGAATGAGCCAGGCATTATGCTAACACATGCGTGAACACATCCACCCATTCACACACACACACACACACACACACACACACACACACACACACGCTTGTAGATACACACATGGGTGATTGCACAGGAGGAATGGTAAGCATTGGTCATTTGCCAGCTGGGAAACCCACAGCACTCCTGACCCTTGGGCACCGGGAGCTCCATGGATCAGTTCACAAGGTAGCTGCCAACATCAAAGAGGGACAGTTTTGTTTCAGAACCCCAGGTCTTGTGCCTCCAGAAAGTAAGTTGACACTTTCCCTTAGAATTAACAGAAAGGAAAGAAAAATATTTGAGTGGCCTTTGAATAGCTAAGCCTAAGTACAGGATAGACTGGACAAAGAGAGGACCTCGTTAAAAAGCAAATTAGTCCTTGAGGTAGTGGAGTGGGACTATATTTTTCCAACTAGAGAGCAGGCCAGCAACTTCTTTTCAACATCTAAGAGCAAAAGGACAGTTAGTTTGTTGAGCTTGAACCTGCTTATTATGCACCTTTATCAGAAACCATCGCTCTTTGCGTATCGATTTCTGGCCAACCATTAACTAGATATGACCTTAAAGCTTTGGTAATAGCTGGGGAACTCACCCAGGAGAGGGAAGCCTGCTAGTGTGGACCCCTCAGCCTGCGGTGAGTACTTTTCCATCCAGGAGGCATAAGAAGTGACCAAAAGCCCAAATGGACCCCCGAGTGGAAGCTGGCGCTTACCACCTGAGACATGAGATGATCTAGACTTGACTGAGAAGAACTTTAAACCTGTGATGCTAGCTGCTGGCTTTGAAGGGTTAAAATCCATTTTCATGTAATAAAATTACTGATAGTCATGGTATTTAGCTGGGTGTACTTTGCACTTGACAAAAAAGTATCCATTATCCTGACAACTTTTTCTCTCTCTGAGTCCATTTATATAAAGTTCAAAAGTAAACACAAGCAATCATGCTGTTCGGAAATCCATGCTTAGGTGAAACTGTAAAGCGTTTCCAGGAAATGGCAATGGTGACATCAGGCTTTGCCAGACCCCGACAGAGAAAAGGCGTGTGACTGGGATGGGGCGTAAGAACCTTTTGGAAGGCAGGCCGCAATAATTTTTAACTGAGTAGGTCTGACACAGGCCTTAGATTGACATTCATGTGTGGAGCTGTGCATTTATGACTTGTTTCGTTTGTACACAGGTGTTTGATTTTACATATACAACAAATAACCAGGAAAAGGTCAAGAAAACCGGTTACTTGGGCTGTTATATCCAAAACTGACTACTGAATGTCTCAGTAATGTTGGTAAATATATTCCTAAATTAAATATATGTTATAATATTCTTGATATTTAGGCGCATGGGCATATTTTTGGAAAAATGAGCTACAAAAGACAATACTAGAATAAGTATAATATACAAATTAAATTAAATACAAATTAAATAAATCAGAAATGTAGCAAAATATTTCTTTAATTCCCCACTATAAAACACCTGCCTCAAAAGCACACAGCTTATTATAATCTAATCTGTAAAGGAATTATTATTATGTCATTCTAGTTAATTATGATAAACGTTAAGAAAAATGCTTACTGTCTTCATGAGAATAACATTGTTATGTCATAAAGTCTGCACAAGAATACTATCATGTATTCAGTACTGCAGACTATATTTTATATACATTTATATATGTGTATATGTAGTACTAAGATATTAAACATCAAATTTGTGTATTAAAAAATGGTTATTGGTTATTGTAGATCTAGGCTAGAGGTTAGAGAGGACTCAAAGCTATATAATATACAGCAGTAAGATTGCCTTTGGTAATAATTAAGATAAATATATGTTGAGAAATTTACTTGATGAAGTAAATAATGAAGACTCCATTTATCTGAGGACAAATTCTTAGAGTGTAGTTAGAGATTATGCTGATTTTAAAAATTGATAATTTTAAGATGGTTGTGCTGGCCACAGAGATAAACCTTGTCTCAAAAAAAAAAATCCCCACAAAAAATTCAGAGTGGGGGGATTGGTAGTTTTAGGTCCTCCTATAAGATTGGTGATTTTATTAGCCCTGGGTAGTTGATTAGGTTTCTGGTAGGCATGTTGAGCAGGTCTTACGTTCAATTAGAGAGCTGTTGGTTGCCGCCAAGGTATGTGTGCCACTACTGCACTCTTGGTATTATTGTGCCACGCTGATCATTGTGGCTCATTGACTTCATAGTTGTGTAAGATTGTTGGTTGCTTCCTTCTTTTGGAAGCTTGTAATTATTTCTCTTTGCAATAAATAGAGGCCATTAAGAAAACCACAATCAAAATGCAGAGTTATGGAGTTCAGTTCCAAAAGATATATTTACAGTACAACCCCTACACCTAAGGCTCAAGAATCACTACAGAGAAGAGCAGAAAGATCGTCAAAGCCAGAGGAACAGGGAGATTGCTGTTTGCCTGTGTTTCCTAGAAATGTCAGAAGCTATATCCATAAAGTCTCACTAACATAACTGCCTATACGTGAGTTGAGCAAGACAACAGAAAAAGACATGCAAACGTGATGGAGGAAGGTCATTGGCTAATAAAGGCACTGCCCTGGCCCATTTTATTGGTTAGAGGATAGGTGGGAGGAGTAAACAGAACAAAATGCTGGGAGGAAGAGGAAGTGAGGTCAGAGACTCACAGCTCTCCTCTCGGGAACAGACGCCTGAGAGAGACGCCATGCCCTGCTCCCGGGATGAAGCTCCAACCCAGGATGGACATAGGCTAGAATCTTCCTGGTAAGCGCACCTTGGGGTGCCATACACAGATGATTAGAGATGGGCTAAATTAATATGTGAGAATTAGCCTAGAAGAGAATGGGCCAAGCAGTGTTTAAATGAATACAGTTTGTGTGTTGTTATTTCGGGCATAAGCTAGCCGTGCGGGCGGCTGGGGTGCTGGGGTGCTGGGGAAGAGGCCCCGCCGCCCCAATACTACACAAACGTGCATGAAGGAAAATTCACAAGGTCTCAGTGTTACACAAGAATTACAGATAAGCAAGGAACCCTGAGAGTGGGAGAAATAATTGTCCTCTGAGACGAGCACTCCAAAATGGTTATTCAATTCCAAATGTTCATCCCTGGAAAAAAATGCACATAACATTATCCATACTGAGCAAGTTGTACTTATGTATGTAGGTACACACATGAATGCATGCACACATCATATGTAACAACAACTAATGGAAAAAGAGGCTGTGAATTTGAAAGTGAGCAAAGAGAGGTATATGGGAAAGGTTGGAGGGAAGAAACAGAAGAAGGAAATGCTATAATTGTAATATATTCTCCAAAAATAAAAGGAAGAATTAAATAATACATGTTGATTCTTTGTATCATTTGTTTTCAGTTATCTATGAACCCAGAACTTTCCAGTCTGGAGCTGCAGTCTAAGCAGCACCAAGAGACCTGCTCCAGTTGTCTAGGGATCACTTGCTGATGTCATGCAACCATCTGCCCTATATCAGATGCTCTGGAGAAGCGGTGATGCTATTACTAACCACTCCACAGACCTCTTTATTTCAAAGAGAACCAAGCAGAGATTCTGGGCTGACTTTGGAATTGTTCATTAGTTTTCAAGCTTTCTTAAAGAGCAGTTTGGCCCTGTAACAGCTAGAAAAGTCAAAAGCAAAGTTTTTGATTAGCTTAGCCCTTCACTTGAAGCCAGTGGGAGAGATGGGCTCGCTTTCTTTGTAACAGCAAAACACTGAGAAACTGAAACTTTTACACATGAGTTTAGGTCTGTTTTTGATGTTTTCTACACAAGTGTGTTATATTCTTATTAGAAAATTCCTAGAAGAGTTCAGAAGAGACTGAAGATGTGGAAAAAAGCCACTGAGAAAGAAGCCTGACCTCCAGAGAAAATCACTGTTGAATTTTCGTGTCTTTAGTCTACGTTTGCACGGTGTTCCCAAAATGGGCACCCTGCAAATACCGTTTTGAAGCTTCCTGTTTAACACTCAGCATCAAACTATGGCTACTTTTTCATAGTAACAATTCTTCAGTAACATAATTCCCACCACCTCTCTAACATAGCATTGTATAGAATAATAATATAACAGTTTAAAGTCATTCTGCTTGTTGGCTATTTGTCTTATTTACTTGCTGCTGTTATAATGTTTCAATAATCATCATTGTGAAAAAATTTTTTATACAAACAACATCACCATCACCTTAGAAAAAGCTCCTAGGAGTAAAATCACTGGGTGTGGGTCAAAGGGTATGCCTACTTTGAATACTTTTGGTAGTATTTTCCAAATTGCCTTTCAGAAAAATTGCATCAATTTATACTCCCACAAGAACACATAAATGTATTTCTGTAGTCAAGCCAATACCAGATGGCCTAATTTAAATAAACAATTTTATGATATTAAGATTAATTTTTTATTTTTTTAACCTTTCTGTTGATTTGATTGCTTTAGCTGTGCAAAGAAAAATTTTATGTTATTTCTCCTGCTAGAGCTATAATGATAGATGGAAACATGAGGACTCAGAAGCCTTGGTATGTACACATCTTAACAATTTTCCAGCTAAAACATGAAGGGGTCAATTATTAGTAAGAGAGAATAGATTTGTCTGCATTAGCGTTACATCCGCCAGGTCATGTCTTTCCTTTAAGGAACGCCCCACTAGGTGTAGCACATGCATGTGTTGTTAAAGTCTCTAACAATCATTCACAGAAATGAGGAGTCCAGCAAACCTCGTGTATCGATTCACCAAATCAACAATTCCTTGGCAATCTATTTAGAAGACCCTACAGGGGACGGCTGTGGGCAGAGGTTAGGCTGCCCATTAGCTTGTGCAAAGAGCTCCTCATGCAGCAATCACAATCTGTTTGCCTGCCCCTCAGACACTGGTTTCTCTCTTTGAGGTTAGGGAGGTGGAAAGCTTTTTACCCTGCAGTCACAGGCAAAGCACTTAGTAGCACCATGGAGAAGTTAAACCTGGAGGAGAGGGAGATTGCTGCAAAGCAAACCTTTCTACAAGGGTGTTGGGCACCAGGCATGGGATTCCATTGCTTGAAATAACTTTTACACCACAAAGTGCTCACACAACAAAACAATTGGGACAATGCTTTGGCGCCTTCTGTTGGAATTTGATTTATTAGAGATGGCTTGACGAATGAGGCTTCTGGAAAGAACTTAGATCAAAGTAGCCTGGAGAAGTTTAGGGGAAGTACAGGTTTGTCTATTGTTGTTTCAGAGCTCTGGAGGGTCGAACTGAGAAGGTTGATAGGTGTAAGCAGCAGAAAGGCTGTTTTTAGGAGGCCCAAGGAAAGAGATTTCTAGCAATAACAGTTGTACCAAAAAAGTAGAAAGAACACCTTTTCCAAGCTGTTCCTGGAGACCGTTTAGGACCATGGAGAAGCCATGGCCATTATCTTGGGGTCCAAAGTGGGTTGGGTGGACATAAGTTACAGTGGTGGCTCAGCCAATGACTACGAACAGAGGAAATTTCAATTTATTAATCTCCAAATGGCTTATTGGCATTTAAAGATTGAACCAATCAAATATGGCTCACAGCAGTAAGAAACCAATGGGTTGGTTTAGGCTGGAGCAGTGGTTTTCAACCTGTGGGTCACCTAAGACCATCAGGAAGCACAGATATTTACATTACAATTGATAACAGTAGCAAAAATTCAGTCAAGAAGTAGCAACAAAATAATTTAATGGTTGAGGGGTCCCCACAGCATGAGGAACTGTATTAAAGGATCACGGCATTAGGAAGATGGAGAACCACTGGACTAGAGTATTAGGTTAGGTTGTTCTGAATCATAGGAGAATTTTTTACAGAAATTTCCCTGGGAACTACACAGCTCTCCAAGGTAGCCCCGCTTCAATTAGCGACAATGTCTACTTTAACTTGCACCTCCAGTTCTCAGCATCGAGCTCCTAGTGCCTGCAAGACAAAGGAGGGAACACAGAAGATGCTCCTCCTAGGTAGCTTTCTGTTGCTGTGACAAACCCACCCTGTCCAAAAGTAACCTGAGAAGGAAGTGGCTTATTTCATTTACTAGGTTACAGTCCACTGTTGAAGGAACCCAAGGCAGAAACTTAAGGCCAGAATCTGAAGCAGAAACCATGGAGGAAGGCTGCTTACTGGCTTGTTTCCAGGTTCCTCTTCAGCTACCTTTCTTGTGTAGCCCAGGCTCATGTGCCTGAAGGTTGTTCTGCCCTCAGTGGGCTAGGCCTCTTACATCAACTAGTCATCAAGAAAATGCCCCCTAGACATATCTACAGTCAATCTGATGGAGGCAGTTCTTCAATTCTGAGTCCGTCTTCCTAGCCATTATATTCACTTTTCTGGGCTTTTCTTGATGTTACATCTACTTATATCTTTTGGCTAGAACTCATCACTTCTCTGGTAGTGAGGCAGAGTGGCAAATATAGTATTCTGTGCATTCAAGAGAGACTCATGAAATAGGTCTTATCCCATTGTGGGAGGAGACAGTGCTTTTCCTTAGTATTCTGCTTTGGTGGAAAATCAATGAACTTCATTGTATCAGAGAACAAATTGTATTGCACCTTGACTTATGCTTTACCACATAGACAACTGATTTGATCTAATTTTGGCAATATTTTTCTTCCTCCACAGTTGAAAAAAAAGTTTCTTTTGACTCAGAAATTGGGGTATGTTCTCTGCGTTTGTATCCACATCTTCACTTAAAATTATTGTCATGTTTAATACATGTCGAATGTATTCTACATGCGTAGAAATGATTTTATGACGGCTGACATTTTGCACATACAATATGTGCTGAATTGACTAAGAACGGCCCCTCTAGGCTCAGATGTTTGAATGCTTGGTCACCAGGGAGTGACACTATTTGAAAGGATTAGGAGGTGTGGCCTTGTTAGAGGAAGTGTATTACTGGGGTTTTAAAATCCCAGGCCAAGTTGAGTCTCGCTCTTCCTGCTGCCTGTGGAACTGGATGTAGAACTCTCTGCTCCTTCTCCAGCACCATGTCTGCCTGCCTGAGTGTCTCTGTGCTCCCTTTGATAGTAATGGACCAAACCTCTGAAACAGTAAGCAAGCCCCAATTAAATGCTTTCTTTTATACGAATTGTCTTGGTGGTGGTGTCTCTTCACAGAAGTAAAACAATGGCTAAGACACAATGTGATTTCTTCATATTCAACTCTTAACCTTTCTCTCAGGTAGTGCTGGGCATCTGCTTCTTTTGCTTTCCTTGCTATCCCCCACTGCCTTTCCCAGTAGACCCTTTAGTTCCCATGATCCTTTCTTTTCTTCCCCGCCCCCTGGCTTCCTGTCTGAGAGAAGACACGCACTGTTTGTATCTGTGGAACTTCTTTCACTTACAAAAATGATCTTCATTAGTCTCCAGCCTTTGTCTAATTCCTGTATTTTAGGGAAGGATTGTCAAGGGTAGTTTCTAAGGTATAAGTCTAGTTATGACTTAGTCCTGGGATCTCTGGATACTCACTACTGAGAACATGGCTGGATTAGATATCGAGACCATATGCTTGGCGAAATTTTGAACAACGAAATTCTCTCTCTTGTAGTTGTAGGCCAGAAGCCTAAGTTCAAGATGTCAACAGACTTGGGCCCTCTGAGGACAATCTGTCCCAGGCTTCCTTCTGAGCTTCTGGTGTTTTGATAAAAATCTGGCCTTCCTTGGCTCAAAGAAGAGACATTCTGATCTCTGTCTGCCTCGTCTACATATGTTCTCTCTGTGTGTCTCTTGGTGTCCAGATTTCTCCTTTTTATAAGGACACCGAGCATATCTGATGAGAGCCCACTCTGATGACTTCATCCTAACTCGATTGCCCCAGAAAAGACATGATTTCCAAAAAAGGTCCTAGTCTGAGGTCCAAGCAGAACCAGAACTGCGATGCATAGTTTGAGGGAACACGAATCAACCCGTCACAAGGGAAACAGTGTTGTTCTGGGCACAGATTAGATCAGCAGCTTAGGCTGGCATGGTGCCCACATGTGTCCACACCCATTTGCTGCCCAGCAACACGCTGCTCTCACTGTGGATCAGGGGCAAAGCTCTTGAGTGAAATCGGCGCTGTGTAAGGCCTAAGTAGGAAGGACAAGCCCTGTTCTTACTCCAAACATCAGGGAACGCGCGACAAGTTTCTTACCGTAGTGAGCTGCAGGAGAGGGTGTGTGGTATCACAAGTCCCTCACCGTTGTTTGTGGTGCTCTGCTCTTTCCAGTGGCATGTGTGTAGTCCTGGGATAGCAAGAGAACACTGGGGACAAAGAAGCAAGAGACATGACTTTAGATGCCCACTTTCTAATTGGACCTGGGAGGGAGGTGGCCTGGAAACCTTAAGTTCTAGAATACATTGAATTTCTGAGTGACAGTTGATGGTGTTAACATAGATAATGTTAATAGAGGAACCTGTGACCACAAAGGTCTGTGTGGCTTTCTGGGACTTCAGTGTGGCGCAGGACGTTGAGAGAGCTCAGAAGCCATGGCTTAGGAGCCGATGGTGATGGCTGTAGCTTGGGCTTATCTCCACACCCATCTAAAGATCTATTTTTTGTCACCTGCCACCTAGCTATCTATGTCTTATACACACACGGATGCACACACCTTTGCTTTGGTGTGGGGGAGGGAGGGAGACATTTTTAATAGCCAGGTCCTTACTTTTTCTTTTGTTTTATTCCTGGAAAAAGATGAAATCGTCGATTTATTCTGTACCTGTTATAAACACTAGAAAGCAGAGGATCAACCGAAAGCTTGGTCACAAATAAATATCCAGCGAGGGAGGAGGAGGGCGGGAGGAAACTGTTATTGATTGGCTTTGTAAAAATCTGCTGCTGAATCGATAGCAATTTCTGGAAATGCCAGACATTAATTTTGTGTGGCTTGAACAGCGGAGATAATAATAAACGTACTTACAAAGTGGGCCTCCTGACACTATTTCCTTGAGCCCCTTAAAATAACGCATGTGCCTGAGGCGTACGAAAGCCCCAGGAGACAGAGTGAATATACTTTGACGGGAATGCCAGCCGAGCTGACCCCCACTTATGTCCCGTCTTTTCTGGAGGTGGCACTTGGGTAGGCATAGCGTGGAGAAAAGAGGCTCATTTAGGAAGGG